AAATGTGAATTTTTTTTCAAAAAATAATGTTAATAATGTTTTTCCTTTTTAAATGAATACCTAATATCATTTATTTTGCTTCTAACTCAAGCTTTCTTAAAATAGTTGTCAGTTATATAATTTTTCAATTCCTATCAATAATCTTATATAGTTTCCGTACTATTATTAGACTTTATCGTGCTTGCTTTGGATATTTTTTTAAAAACTATATATATTAATTCCGAACATTTGTACCTACTTCACTAATTCTATCGTTCAAACAAATTTTTAATTCTACAGCGTTTAAATGCAGTATGTAAATAGTAAAAGGTTTTGAGATAATAAATTCAAACAAGAAGACCACTCGATTTAATATCATACGAGTTTTCTTGGTAATACAGTCGTCTCATCACATTAGTCAATGCAACTCATCACATTAGTCAACGTGCGCTTAAGCTGATCCTTACACTCACGAATATAAAAAAAAAACACATTTAGATTCAAGATTAAGAAAATTTATATAATACCGAGGATTTTAATTCAACTCATGACTTAAAAGAATATCTATTTGCTAATTCACTGTCATGACTTAAAATAATATGATTGTTTTAACTTTTTTCATACTCTGTGGAGAATCTTCTCCCCGAGATTGAAAAGTTACAGATATTCCTATCTTAAGATAGATAGATTTGTATGCCAAAAAGCATATAAGATAAATCATGACGCCAAGAAAAGGACCTGCAGGGGAATCATCTAAAAGAGGATTTTATCCAAAAGGAAAGAGGAAAGGGCAGAGAGAGCTGAAGCTTTGGCCGCTAGCTTCAATGGCAATCCTTTTTCCAGGCAACCACCGACCAGTTTGGAGGACCATTAGAATTCAGAATCTCTCTTTTCATTTCCATTCAGTCCTTGCAATATACAACAGCACATTTCTAGTAGTCCTCGCGGTAACCAAAAATTATAACAAAGAAATAAATAACATGTGAAAATTGGAATATAATTAACTAAGCTTTCCCAAGGGAAAGAAAAATGCCAGGATTCAAGTGTTTTAATATAGTAATGAAGGGAAGGATATAAAGATTACATAAACACTCATAAGTTAGTGGACATATATAGCGCCCATATGTTGTACTTGTTCATGGCCTGTGGAATTTCCTTGGAAAAGCATATCTCACTTGCTTAGCAACCAACACTTTCTTGTTGCAAAGCAGCTCATTCTGGTTTCTCCTTTCTTTTTTCTTCTTTTTTTCTTTTGTTGCAGCTGATTTTATTTTTCAAGCAACAATTATGAGCTTCAGGACAGCCAGCGTCCTTATCACCGCCACTTCTTCTCAGACAAAGATATGAGCTGCACAAAGACAATTTCAACATGAGGGATGTTGAAATGGCACATTAAAGAAAAAGAGTGCAAAGATCCTAAATAACAAAACAACAATAAGTTTTGTTTTCTTGTAACAAATTATAAAACTCATTTAACAGAATAAGTTTCATCAAGGATTTTGTGTTGTATTCAATAATGTATCAAATAGTCTACAACTATAGTGAATTTAAAAATTTGGTCATCTATATTGAGTAAGTCTGTGCTATAAGTATAAATTTAATATTTAACTTTTATGTACACATATTTTCTTTTTGGTGGGGAGGCAGGTGGAGATACAAGACTCATGTTACCATTTTCCTTGTACATGAAAAGGAACCAAACACAATGGAACAGTTTGTTAGCTAAGCTTGTTAGATTGGAGCTTCTTTTTAGTTTGGCTCCATCTTTAATATGCCCCGTGTTTTCTTTCATTTTTCTCAATGGAAGTACAGGCTTTCATAAAAACAAACTAAGCTAATATAAGGAAAAAAAATGGACACTGTAACAAAGACGGGTTAGAGGAAAGCGACCTCATAGGTTTCAGCAAGTTTAGCCTAGCAGTGCCTAGCATTTCTGATAAACAAGTCAGAGTTGGAGGCTAAGATGGCCTACAACGGCAGGATGGTTTTTTTATAGATATAATCGGGGTTCCTCAGAGTAAGTGAAGTTAAAAAGAGAAATCTTAAAGGTGTTTTAATGGACTACTATCTATTTATGTGTGTTTCTATGGCTTATGATGACAAAGGAAAGAGAATTCACATATTGAGGGAACACAAGGCAGCAGAGTCAAGAAACATGTCCAAATATTGCCCCATCACTTATAAGAGGTTTCTCAACGTTTTGAGTTTTCAGCTCCTCAAAGTGTAAAATTAAGCAGATTTCTAGATTTCAGAAGCTGGGAAAATCATCCTCACACGTCAAGGTGTCAATGTCAAATCAACAAAAAATGACAACCATATATTGGAATCGAAACCAAGGAAGCAACAATCTGAACTGGGGGGAAAAACATGCCATGTTGCACATGAAATTGCATGTAGCACACAATTTGAGTTATGTAACCATATTTTTTCTATTGCTAAATGTGATACTGAATGCTACTACTAGCTATACCTGTAAATACTCAAACTTAAAATATCCACAAAATACTAAATATGAGTTCTCCCAGTGAATGTCACGATAGGCTATTAGTAATTCGTAAGAACAAATGCGTCAGTATAACTTATTATGGAGAAATGACCAGAGAGGCAAGCAATGTAGAAAAAATAAGTTCATATACATTGATTACCCGAATGACATAATGCAATTTAACTGATTATAATAACTCCAGACATGTAACTAAAATAGATATATTACCAGTCTAGACTAGACAACAAAATATCTCCCTTTCAAAGAGACCAAGTATGCACCCATCCTACCACAGAGTATACAAGTAACTAATTTCAGGTGTTCAGAAACAAATCAGAAGGGTACACGAGCATGTTAAAGTATATATATAGCTAACCTGCCGAGCAACCTGTGCTAGCCGACGGTTGTCCCGAGATGATTCCGTCATTAAGCTAAACTTGTCTGATTCCAATGATACAATTTGTTTATCCTTCATCCTTTTCTTTGATATGCTTTCATCAACTGATGATTTACCATCAGGGCTGCTCAAAGATTCCTTCTTTCGCTTTCTTTGGAATGTGTACTTGAGAACTTTATTATTTAAATGTTGACTAGGAACCTCATCAAGAGCATCAGAATTTTTCATATCCAAGTTAACTGATGACTCCTTAACTGGGTCAGCGTCTATTTTATAAGGGGAACCCTCCAAATTGTCCACACATAAACTTTCCTGGCCAGTGAAGTCAGATTTATTTACAACTGCTTTATCATAGTCTTTCATGTTCCTAAGAGAACAATCATTTATTACTGCTCCATCTCCCTCACTGACGTCTGGACATCCTGAAGGTGTTGACATTTCATTTATCTCAGACAGTACAGGGTTTGAGAGCAAAACAAGACCATCCTGACTATCAATTTCCTTTTTCGACAGACATTTTTCTGAGTCATCGTTATCTACTGAAAGACTTTCTGAGCAGTGAAGATCAGGTGACTCGCATTGTTTAGTAAAGTCATCAAGAACCGGTAGAGCTTTCCTCTTGTTGTATCGAGTAGCTCGTTTCCTTTTTCTGCGGAGGGATTTAATAATTGGTACTTGAATATCCCTGCTTAATAGCTTAGGCAATTCCTTGGTCTCATTAGAATTCTTCCGTTCTCCACAGGTATTATCGGTCTTGGTAATGCTTGTTTTACACATAAGTTTACCCTCTTCTTCACCCATATCAAACGCCCTACTCTTGACATCTTCAGCTTGTCCAGTCAGACACACCTTTCCATCAAACAATTTTCTTTCAAATGCACGTACTCTCTGAGTGCAACCATTTCTGTAAAGCTCAGGTTCTTTGCTTCTCATCACCATGGAGGCAAAATCTCTATGAACTTGGCCATTATCTATCTTCAAGTCATTCTTACTTTCAGGCCAACTATCGGGGCACGTCCCATTCAAAGTTGCACTTATGTTATAAGGTGCGATGCACTCGTGTGAGCTTGGCAAGTCCTCTCGAGATGCAACATTACCAGCCAAGTTGTGCTTATCAAGGGCTTCTACCTTTTTGTTCCTCACATGTTCCAGTTCATCTTGAACTTCTTGCAACTGAGCTCTAAGTTTACTCACTATGTCCTCAGCTTCCTCAAGCTGGGCTTCGAGCTCTTCAATCTTTTTCTTTTGATTTAAAGACACCATCTCTGCCTCACTGACCTGAAAACATGGCATATTTCAATTACACACTTGGTTAAAAAATTAGATAAGCACAAGAAGGAACTGAAGCCTTTTTTCTAGTTGTGCTGAGAAAGATCCAAATATAATAACTTCATTCAAGTACTATTCGACTGAACTAACAAATAATCAATCTGTGCCAGATTGGTTTGGCATTGAACTATGCAGCTCTAAAAAAGTAGCAGAACATCTTAGTTCCAATTTTAGTTCCGTCTTAAAGGTGAAAAGGATTTGAATAAGATCATGAGCATTAAAATGATAACCTTGAAAATGCCACAAGGAGAAACATTTATTTCAAGTGACATGTCTGGATTCATCAAGAATTTTAACTAATAGAATAGAGTTTGATTGACCAATCTAAAAATAAACATTTCAGAGACCAACTTCCTCATCAAAAACTTAAATGACCAAGTGATTAATTCCTCTAATCAAGTTCAAAATGTTATGTGTTCCTCACTTTTCAATGTCATTCTGTGCAATGAATTCATTTTTGCAAGTAATTTAGCCTCTACACTTGATTTTAAAATTTTTGGTGATGTTCCCCAACAGCTGACATGAATTGTTTTTTACACGATAGTTGATTTAAGCAACAAACAGCCAGGAAACAGCGACAACTGATTGAATGCTTTTTGAAAAAATGTCCACAAGTGAACACTGGAAATTTTGAGCATTGTGAAAGACAATATCCGTTATCCAACATTAAAGATTACCCACTAGCATAAAGATCGAAAATTTAATCACAAAACCATTCACAGACATACCGGTATAGACGAAACCCACCTAACCATCCAAATCAGAACGTGATCGGAAGAACACAAAACAATTCCAACCAAGAAGTGGGCAAGCAAAAAACAAGAAGAAAAACCAACCCCATTTACACGAAATCATCATACCTTAGAATCCAACATTTGCTTAAGCCTAAGCAGTATCCGAAACGCCTCATCTTTAGTCGCGGACAGCTCCTGCTGAAACCGAATAGCGTTCCTCTCAGAAACCATGATACGCGCCGCCGCCTCCTTCGCTGTATTGAGGATTATATCGGCGTACGCCTTCTTCAGGGCCATCAATTTCTGAAAACAAAGAAAACCCATTACAAAATCAAACGAAACACACCGGCAAAAACCCACTAGAGGGCAGTGGAACAAACTTGAATAAGATCAAGATTAGCCCCCTCACACATTCCCCCAAAAAACCCACAAATCCCACCAAAAAAAAAGAACCCAAAAACAAAAAGGCAAAACCAAGAAAAGGAAGTTAGTTAAAGAGGCGAGGGCAGTCTCTCTAGAATTGAACACGAACAACAAAGAGCGGCGATTCCAAAAATATTACCTCAGAGTCGTCCATTACGAGTGAGGCGTAGACTCTCGCTTTGCTGGGCTGTGGAGAAGGAAGAAAAGGAAGAAGAATAAGGGGGGAGGTTTGTTCTGTTTCCCCCCCTCGCTTTTACATCAGCTGTCTGTTACGAACTGAAAGACTAAAGTCCAAGCCCAATTACCATATTGCCCCCGCTGCCCTCCATTAATTACAAACTTGCCCACCTCAGAGGCTAACCGCAACGCCGGTGTTGCCCGGTTCCTATTTTGCCCTCTCGCTCGAATCGGCGCGCGCCATGAGAGTGGTCCCACACAGTGGGACGCTGACGTGGACGTATTGGTGTCGCCTGACGGATAGACACGCGTTTTAATGCATGTAGTGGTTGGATCAGATCGACAGCTGGACGGTCGTGATTTCGGGTGTACTGTGTAGTAGCGAGCTGAGTAGTAAATCCTTTTATTTTTATTATTTTAGATTATTAAGAAAAAGAAAAGAAATAAACGGTCTTTTTGGTTTTCGGAGTTTTAGGAATCTCTGTTCGCAACCTCAAATATTGACGAGAGTGGACCGGCGACGGCGTGTAACGAAAAAACCTTATTTGCCTGGTTATCTTACCGAATTTTGAACGACATGTCGTTGATCCTCGTGCGACGAGACGTTGACCGTTGATCCACTGCATTGGCAACGCATAACGTAGTGATGGAGCATGCTTGGGTGGTGATTGGTTGGAAAGGGAGACCACGTCATAAATTCAAAAAATGAAAATAAAAACGACAGAAAGAAAACTGACTCCACTGGGGATCGAACCCAGAATCTCTGGTTCCGTAGACCAGCACCTTATCCATTGGGCCATGGAGTCGTATGAATGAACTTTAATCTTTTAATTATTTATCCATGAAAATATTTGCAGAATTAATTCAGTGTTGTAACATTTAAAAAATATGTAATAAATAAATTTAATTGTTTTTAAAAATTAACGAACAATTCGATCATTAATTTCATTCATTTTCATCTAAAACGGTTTTGTTATCATTGAGCTTTGAACAATCAAGGGTATCACAAATACATGATATCACAGCACGAGATTTTCTTCCAAAATTAATTTTATGACTTGTCGTAATCCTAACCTAATTTATGATACCTAGATATAAATAGCAGATGATCTAAATCATTGCACATAATCAATGGAAAAAAAAAATGATAAGACGCTTTTTATTTTAGAAGTGCCAACAGGGTATACATTATACTTGCATAAGTATTAGTTTTTTTAAGCTAAAATATACTATCTTTTTTGTAGATAATGTAAAATATATCCTTGGTCCTTGAAGTTTTGACACGATTTTTATACGGTCTTTGAATTAAAGAACAAAAAATTTCACATTGAATCATTGAGATTTAAGATTATTTTATATTTGGCTCTTAATTGGTCATCCGGTTTCATCTTCGTTTCTATTTAATCATTCGATTCAGTTGATAGTTAAATCAACATAATGAAACAGTGATGTAACTTTACTACTCCATATGAATGTTGAATTTACTGATTTGCATTGTAAATTTTAACTTAGTCCATTTAAATGTTAAACTAAATATGAATATAGATAAATGGTCGTGATACTGTTACAAATATATTACTAAATACATAGTGCATATATTTTTAAATCAAGATTCAAATTTTAAATTTGATACCAAATACATATTAAAAAACATTGAAAATAACTATTTTTATTGAATCATTTTATCTTCAATTTGTATTTTAACCAAAACGCATGATAAACCATTTTTGCTATTTTTAAAAATATTGGATATGACCACTTATTACCTAAACAATTATGGTTCGGGTGGACAACCCGGTTAACCCGTACCCGCGCCGAAACCGCCCGTCTTCTTAACTTGAAACGTCACTGTTATCCAAAACCTCTCCACGTGGCTTTCACGGAGCGGGTTTCAGCTCTCATCTGCTTCCGCCCGCTCTTCCTTCGCTTCTGCTCGTCTCCCTGCGAAAATCAAATTTGCAACTCGGAGAAATCGGTCCTGAAAATTTCACTGGTTTTTATCTCAATCTGTTCTTAATTGCTTGTGAATTCTTCTTTTCATCGAAGGAACACGAATTTCCTGGACTCACGGAGCTAATGAGAACTAGATTCTTGTAAATGTAATGGCGCTCTCACCACATCTGTCCCTGCCGAATCATTTTCGAACTTCCTCGGCGTTTCAGAAACGGTTCTTAGAGTCTCACCAATTTCCATTTCTCTCCAAACTTTCCAGTTTTCATGTTCGCCGTAGGTTTCTCTCAGATGACTGGAGCTTCTCCTCCAACGTGGGGAAGTGCAGAGCGAAGCCGAAGGATCTAGTTCTTGGAAATCCGTCGGTAATTGTTGAGAAGGGCAAATACAGCTATGACGTAGAAACCCTAATCAACAAACTTAGTAGCCTCCCGCCACGAGGCAGCATAGCTCGCTGTCTCGATATCTTTAAGAACAGGCTCTCGCTCAATGACTTCAGCTTCGTTTTCAAGGAATTCGCGGCGCGCGGGGATTGGCAACGGTCGTTACGCCTCTTCAAGTATATGCAGCGTCAGATATGGTGCAAGCCGAACGAGCACATCTATACCATCATGATCAGCTTGCTCGGCCGCGAAGGATTGCTAGAGAAATGTAGCGAGATATTCGATGAAATGGCGAGCCAAGGCGTGATACGTAGTGTGTTTTCTTACACCGCTTTGATAAATGCCTACGGGCGCAATGGTCAGTATGAAACCTCACTTGAACTTATTGAAAGGATGAAGAGAGAGAGAGTGTCACCTAATATATTGACTTACAATACCGTGATAAATGCCTGTGCTAGAGGTGATTTGGATTGGGAGGGATTGTTGGGATTGTTCGCCGAGATGAGGCATGAAGGGGTTCAACCTGATCTTGTTACTTATAATACTTTGCTTAGTGCTTGTGCTGCCCGGGGTCTAGGTGACGAGGCAGAGATGGTCTTCAAGACTATGATAGAGGGAGGGATAGTCCCTGAGATAACAACATATAGTTATATTGTTGAAACATTTGGAAAATTGGGTAAGCTTGAGAAAGTTGCTATGCTGCTAAAAGAGATGGAGTCCGAAGGGTATTTGCCTGATATATCATCCTACAATGTGTTAATAGAGGCACATGCAAAATTGGGGTCGATTAAGGAGGCAATGGATGTGTTTAAGCAGATGCAAGCAGCAGGATGTGTGCCAAATGCATCCACTTACAGTATTCTGTTAAATTTATATGGGAAGCATGGGAGGTATGATGATGTTCGGGAGCTTTTTCTTGAAATGAAAGAGAGCAGTGCTGAGCCAGATGCAACTACTTACAACATTCTCATACGAGTATTTGGGGAGGGTGGATACTTCAAAGAGGTTGTAACTCTGTTTCATGATTTGGTGGAGGAGAAGATTGACCCAAATATGGAGACATATGAGGGGTTAGTATTTGCTTGTGGAAAGGGAGGGTTGCACGAGGATGCCAAGAAAATTTTACTTCACATGAATGAGAAAGGAATAGTCCCAAGTTCCAAAGCATACAGTGGACTGATTGAAGCATACGGACTGGCTGCATTGTATGATGAAGCTGTCGTTGCGTTTAACACTATGAATGAAGTGGGAAGCAAGTCAACTGTCGATACCTACAATTCACTAATTCACACATTTGCTAGGGGCGGACTCTACAAGGAGTTTGAAGCAATCTTATTGAGAATGAGAGAATCCGGCATTTCAAGGAATGTGAAGTCATTTAGTGGTATTATTGAAGGTTATAGGCAAAGTGGTCAGTTTGAAGAAGCTATAAAGGCCTTTGTTGAAATGGAAAAGATGAGATGTGAACCTGATGAGCAAACCCTGGAGGCAGTTTTAGGTGTTTATTGCTTTGCAGGTCTTGTTGATGAGAGCAAGGAGCAGTTTCATGAAATTAAAGCTACAGGAATATTGCCTAGTGTGTTGTGCTACTGCATGATGCTTGCGGTGTATGCCAAGAATGGCAGGTAATGGTTACTATATGTATATATATATTTGTTAATGAAACTTATGTTTATTGTCAACTTATGTTTTCTTAATTTTATTTCCAGTTAATATAACCTGTACATGCTACTTTTCGTCTAAAAACAAATTGTGTTCAAGATTCAGTCTAATTAGAACTTTATTCTATCTTGAAATCTGTCAGGGCATTGGGGGTTAGTTAGTTAGAGTATGGGTAGTTATATGAGATGGATGGAGCTTATTAGAGTTCTTCATAGGGAATTGTTAATGGCAAAGGAAAACAGTTATAAATAAGAGAAGAGGGCAGTGAGGGGAGGTGTACTGAAGAGGAGATGTTCAAGTTTCTCAAATTAAACGTTTATATTTGAATTTTGATATAGATAACATTTATTATTTCTTCTCTCTCTAGAAATTATAGCTTTTATATGATATTGAGAACTTGGAGATTTGTCCACACCAAGTCAGCTTTGGTGTATCACGTTCATGTATGACATATTGACATGTAAAATTACCATATGAGACTACCAATTCTTCGATGGGATACATTAAGTGAATGAAAGACGAGCTAATCTATTAACAGGGTGTAGTGTCTTCTTGTCAACTGGGAAGATATGGGAGGTTGAAGTAAGGTCTTGATGAGAAGATCGTTCTCTATTCAAGTTGTCAACTTTGACTTTATTGCATAGCATAAATAGATCTGCAGGAGTGGCTTGAAGTTGAACGATTCATTCTTCATCTGCCAAGCCATGAACTTTCTGCGGCTGATTGCCTTAGTAGAATGCTATTAAGAAACTTAATGTAGGGATCTTGGAGAGTTCCAACGTGGTAGGAAACTTCATCATTATCAATCATCTACAGTTCGTGGATAGACTATCATCTTCTCCTCCTCAATAGAAAAATTTGGCAATCCTTTCAAAATCATATATCTTCTTGAGGTATCCTTGGGACTGGATGTCAACCTCTCAAAATTGAAATTGGCAGGCATCAACTATACTATCAATGTATTTAAATAATTGGAAGATGCCTGGGGCTGTAGAGTAGACAAATAGCTCTGCTTTTTTTATTCTCTCTCTGAATGGAACAAAATAAAACATCAACTCCCGGAGCACATTATTGACA